CACAAAATATGCACACAAGGAAGTGGCAATCTTGGGGACCATTTTAAAATTCTGACATACATATTATTGTATGTGCATTAATTGTATGTGCAGTTCCCATTTTTTAAATTTATAAAATTTTAACTTTTAGTAGTGCAAAATAATACATAAACAGTAGAACATGAATTTTGAATTTTCATCTTTTCCCAAGCTAATGCTATGTGGTGCTATGATCTTTTCTCTAGAGGATGGGCAGCAGCAGTGAAATGCAGCTCCCAGTCAGCTATCATTAGGATGAACTACTGATACCATACAGTGAACCGTATTGGTGAGCTATGATGTGTCTTAGGGTAAGTGTATTAAATTCATTTGCAATCTACAGTATTTTCAATGTATAGCAGGTCTACTGGTATATATTCCCACGGTACGTTGACAAATGTCTGTACTAATTTACATGTAGATCTAATCCTTTGAAAAGAGAAAGTTTTTACTCTGCATTCAGTATGTATGTGACCAGACATGCTAATATGAGAAATGCTACAAACTCATTTAGCAGTACAGAACTGGTTGGGTGTTAGTCACCTTTCTGTCACTGTGACAAAATATCTGACACCAACATCTAAAAGAAGGAAATATTTATTTTTGGCTCAAGGTTTCAGTCTGTGGTTGGCTGAGTCCATTGTTGTGGGTGTAACGAGAGGTGGAGACTCATGAAAAAAGAGCAGGGTAGAGGAAACGCCCTGTCTTCATGGCAGCTGGGAAAACTGGAGAGAAAAAGAGCCAGGAAGAAGGGGCTGGAGCCCCCCACAACTTGCTTTTTTTTCCTTTTTCTTTTTTAGAAAGGCAACACTTTGTGTTTCCTTCACTTTTCAAGAAAGTCATCAAATATGACCTTATCCATGAGTTAATCTACTAAACATACAGCCCTTGTGATCCAGTCACTTCCCAAGCCCATCCCCAGCCAAGCCTTCAACAGCACAAATCTTCTGGGAGGTATTTTGGATCCCAAATACAAGTGGGAAAGTTCTCTGAGAAGGAAAAGTAAGGAGAACGCCTCAGGTAAAATACAGGGGCTCACTAATTCACGTTATTAATTCAGTTTTTAAAAATATGTTAATGAATGCAGCAAATGACTATGCAAAGCAACAATAAAAATACTCAAAACAATCTAGGAAATTGGAGTATGTATTAGATGCTATAGAAAAATTATTGCTTTGTGAGGCTTAACGACAGCACTGAGAACTGTAAAAAGATATTTAAAGTTTTTAGAAATCTACTCAGAAGTATGTAGAAGAGAAGCGATGGCTGGAACTTGAATTAGAATAATGTGCGTGTTTGTAGGGGAACAGGAGAACAGAATAAATGAAGTGCAAATTCTTGGTAATTATTGATCTTGTGATAACTATATTTAAAATGTATTATTTTATCCAAATTTGTATATTTTAAAAGTTATTCCTAGTAATAGAGGTTAAAATGGGATTTGGGCTGCTCAAATGTAAAGTATTTAGGCATTTCTGCCCTTGAATGTCTTTGTATGAACTAAAGGAATAAGGTAGTAAGGCACAATTTTCCTTCTATTTTGTAGTAAAAAGAGACTGTAATAATACATTATGAATATATTTAAAATAGGTAATATCTAGACCAATTTTAAAGTTACTTTAAAAAATTTAAAAGTCATATCTGAATTGATATTGAGTCCATAGGCATGGTATTAGTTTTGAATCAAATTTATTTTTCCTCCTCAGAATGCTTTCAGAATATTTTTTGAATTCATTTAATAAAGAATCTGAAAGTTTGTCCTTATTTATTCATAAATTCCTGGGTCTTCCTGCACATTGGAGCAAGAACATTAATGAATAACTGTCAGTGAAGAAGCTGCCCTTCTATAGAGAAATAACGTAGAGTGTTAAGGGACAACGGAAGTAGACAGATCATGGTCTACAGAAGAGCTAAAGAGTGACAGAAAAAATGCTCTTGTCTTGGCTTTGGTCCTCCTGTGAAAGTGCAGGTATCATTTGCTTTTACACACTCAACCAAACACCTCCGAGGGTTCCTGTGTCTTGGCTTCTGCTTCTTGTTTGACAGCTCATCCTGATTAATACATGCCGGCTGAGTAACACATGCCTTACGTGTCATTACTAAGTCTTCTCTACCTGCTTTTAGGAAGGAGACTTGATAAATTTACATTATAGGTTGAATTGTGCCCTCCCTCATATTTTGAAGTCCTAATCCAGTACTTTAAACTGTGATCTGTGGCAACAGGGACAATGTAGGTACAACTGGTTAAAGTGAGGTCAATAGGGTAAGTTCTAATGTGGCTACTGTTCTTTTTTCAAAATTCAGTTTATTGGTACCAATTTAGATATACATAATGATCATATTCATCATAGGGAATTTGTACCTGTACAAAATGTATCTTTTTTCCTCTCTTTTTCCTATTCTCATCCTCTCCCTTTAACCCCTCTTCCCCTCCTTATTTATAAAACTTCCTTCTTTTCTCATTTTTTCTTTTCCTTCCTTTGTTTCCCCTCTCCCTTCCCTAGTTCCTCTTTCCCTTGAATGATTTCTTCCTATTTCACAATATCTTTTATACATTTTCATTCTTATTTGCACTTCAGTTTCTCAAATCAGAGACACAATGTGATATTTAAACATTTCCCTGATTTATTTCACTTATGAGTATGGTCTTAAAGTCCACTCATTTAGCTATAAATGTCTGAAGTTTATCTTCCCTTATGGCTGAGTAATACTCCATTGTATAAAAAACCCAAGCCCTTTTTATCCACTCATCAGCTGATGGGCATTTGAGCTGTTTCCAAGATTTAGCTATTATAAACTATGCTGGTATATACACAGGTGTGCATATATCAGTGTGGTATGATGCTTTTAATTCTTTGGGAAGATACCCAGAAAGGAAATAGCTGGGTGAAATGAGACCTCTTGTCCTACTTTTTTGAGGAGTCTTCACACTGATTTCCACCATGGTTGCACCAGTCTACACTCTCACCAACAGTGGAGTTCATTTTTTCTCACATCCCTGCCAGCATTGTTTTTGGTTGATTTGCTGAAAAGAGCCAGTCTTTCTGGAGTGACATGAAATCTCAGTGTTTTAATTTGCATTTCTTCAATGACCAGTGATGTTGAATAGGCTTTCATACTATAGTTTCGAGACTGGGTAGTAGTTCAGGCTGGTCTTGAGTTCACTAGGTAGCCCAGGCTGGCCTTGAACTTTCAGTAATCCTCCTGCCTCAGCTTCCCAATTGCTGGGATGATAGGTATGTGCCATGCCCAGCAGTTTTCTATATATTTATTTGCTGTTTCTACTTCATCTGAGAAGTTCTTATAAATAGTGTTCTACATGAAGAGAAAGAGACACACTGAAGGAAGACTATGTGAAACCTCAGAAGGTGATCGCCTATAAGCCAAGGATAGAGGATTTAGAGAAACCAACCCTGTCAACACCTTAATTTTACACTTTTAGCCTTCAGGGTTATGAGACAAAAACTTTATGTTGTTTAAGCCACTCAGTCTATGGTACTTTATTTTGGCAGTTTTAGAAAATTAATAAACTACAAACAAATGTTAGATATCTTTTCATTGCACTGTCAAGTCTTTATCTTTCCCTGTTTAGTCTCTAAGTTTCTTAAACTGTATATCAGAAAATCAGTCAGCTTCTCCTGTTCAAACTGTGTCTACAAAATGCCAACAGATGTGACATTATCCTAGTTTTTTCTTTTGCGTAATCAATTCCAACCAAGTACAGAAAAAACTCAGTTTTTGGAGAAAATTACAAGACTTGGATCTCCTTTGTGGCCTTTTCTGACTTGGTAGTTTCTTCTTTTAGTTATTCTAATCGATTTTATTCTCTTCTTTACTTCTTTGTAATAAGGGGACTAGAAGATGGGTATTAAACATGAGATGATGATAGTAGCTGTATTGAGCTAGTGTGCTTGCTTAATAAAATTATTTTCATTAGCTTATACTTCTGAAGTATAGTGGGTGATAATAAAAAAGATGAGAAAAGCTTTCAGTAGACTATACAGAACTCTAAGTAAATCTTCTGTATAATATGAGTTTTGCTTTCATTACATGTAAGATTCTTTGGAAAATTCTTGAACTCTTCCAATGTTGAGTTTACTCATGTGCAGAATAGCCATAATTGATTGCTATGGTTTGTGTCTGGGTGTCTCCTGAAAGTGTCATGCAGTCATGGGTGCAGGCTTCTAGAGTTTTTGATTGATCCATGGCCCAATGCTGGGATTATGAGTGTGAGTGCTGCACCTGCCCTAGGGCAGGGAGCCCGCATACAGTACAAGGGAGGGAAAGAGGTTGCTTGCTGCCACTCCTCCCTTTTGCTCTTGTTGATTTTGCTGTCTTCCACTGCCACAAACTGTTGCCCTCTGCCATGTGCCACTCTGCCTTGGAGCCAGCCAAGTACGGATTGAAACATCCACAAACTGTGAGCTTAACAAACATTTCCTTTCTTAATTTTGGGCATTGGGTATTTTGTCTTAGTAATGAGAGAAAAGTAACCAAGACATTGATCATAATTATTGGATCTGTGAAGCCAAAGTTTGTATTTTACATTAGTGTAAACAACTATTCTTATAATGCTTCCTAGCATATTACTCAGCATATAGATAAATCATTTGCTTATGAAACTAAAAATTATGGAAAACAGTTATAAATTTGGGGAACTTAATTTACTCTTCTTCCAGAAGTCAGCTGAAGTTCAACAGACTGTATCAATTTATCATTGGTGATGGCAGGTTGGATTTTCTGAAGATGCTTCTGTAAATACATATCTGTTTTATGATGTGGCAGATACTAACCCCCCTGAAAAGTGGGCCGTATCTCCTCTGCCTGAGATTGTTCTCACCAGTGGAGCATGGTGGAAATGATGCTATGTGCCTATTGAGGCTATGTAGTAAAAAGTGTAATACCTGCCACCCCCATACCTTTCTCTATCTCCAAGCTATAAGGAAGCCAGGCTACACAGGCAGTCATGCAAAGATATCCCAGTCAACCACCCCGGTGAAGGCCTCAACCTGAAGCAGTCCAAGACACATGAGTAAACAAATCTTCACTTATTTCAAAGCCACAGCTTTCAAGTTCCAGCTGAGTCTCCAGATATAGTAGAGCTGAGCTGATCTCACTGGACCCCGTCATACTTTTTTATTCACAGAAACTGTAAGAGATTAGAAATGTTGATTGTGTTTTCAAGTATCAAGTTTTGGGGTGCTCTGTAATGTGCCAACAGATAACAAATGCAACAGTAAAGCTAACCTAGGTAAAAGAGAAATTTTTATGGATCCTGAATTAATGAATGTCGTCTTAGGGTCCAGATGCA